TATAATGCATAATTTATAATTTTATTCTAAGGAACTATCATGAGGCTCATATAAGAATAAACAATATCAGAAATATCATTTTGGCAGTTCTGATTGCTCAGTAGAAGTTAAAAAAAGTCAAGTCGATCACTTAAGTGTTTGACCAATTATTTTTGGTTGACATCATCATAGAAGTGAAACTATAAATTTCAAATGCTGAATTTGGCCTAGCAAAGCAATGTCTAGATCACTGAAGAAACATGATTTTTGTTTCAATTATTTGCAAAACAGCCTTGTTTTTTGAAAATTGACTTTATGAATTTAAACTTAGCTTCAGACCATTTGCTAGACAAAGTTTTCCCAGACAGGGTGAGCTACAGCATAAAAATCTAAAAATGGAAGAAATGGAAAAAAAATCTATCAATTCAACATGAGACTGGTGAGTCATGCATAGGCATGGACAGAGGATTGTGAAATCCATCTTCAACTATATTTCCAGAGCATGCCATTGAGAACTTCACCTTAATTAAATCTCAAATCCCGCTCATCCATTGGAACCACAAACTGACCTTCAAACCCATAGGGATCTTGTCAAAATTGTACTTCTTAATATAGTTCAATCATTGTGAGTAGCTGAACCAATCTTTGCAGAGTTCCCTATCAAAGAGCAATAATAATATATGTTCACATCCTGGACAGAATTAATAGTCATAAAAGCAGATTAAATAGAAATTTTCCTTTTATATTTCAGATATTGTACAATATCGGATATTATATAATAACCAGATATTACAATAATAGTATCTAAGGCAAATATTGTATAATATTTGTACAATATCAAAATTATATGAATTCATTGTTTCTTTAGTTTCTGAACATGCTAAATGTTTTCTCTAGAGCCCAGCGGTAGTCCCAGTACATAACTTTCAGACCTTGGAGGTTAAAAATGGCAGTGATATGAATAAAGTCAAAGTACTTTTCATTTGACCCTCATAGGACAAGGTTTACTCTCCAATAAGAGTTTTAAATTAGCTTACTGGAAAAAGAAGATAAGGAAATTGACAAGTTTCCAGAGATAAACTTAATCTGAGGGTAAGTTTGAAACGTGCAGAAACCATTCATACCACTAAGTCGTGCAGACTTATCTTGCCATCGACAGTTGCAGCCTCTGCAGGTAAATGCATGGTTATTAATATCCTTTCATAAACATCTCAAGTACATCAGTGCCCAGGGGGCACATACACCAAAAGAAGGGAGAAATGGTCTCTTCTTTGGACACAGGGTTTGTTGTTTAAGTTTCTATCAATGTTTTTAGAAAACCACGTTTAAAATTATGTTTGGACTGTTTTTGTTGGAAATCTTGCTAAAAGTGATTAAATACCTCCATGCTTTCTTAAATATCAGGCACAGAACATAATTCAATGCATCCTTGATGACTTAGAGCCCTGATCATAAAGATCAATTATCACATCAGCCTGTATATCATTCTAGATATTTTTTGTTTCCTTTCTTGTTCACAGGTGGGCACTGAGGTTACCAGTTCCACCTCTTGGCATTTGCTGCTTCACCTCTAAGTTGATATGAGGATGCCAATTTATAAGACTACTAGATGTGTGTACAATATTTAAGACTCAATAAACTCTAAATAAAAAAACACCAAAACACAAGCTTGGCTTTTTCCACGAAGTAAGAGAATTTTGTTGGCCAACTTTGTGACAGTCATTTCAATCGTGTCCAAGAACCTTTTTGCATACATCCTGAGTGACCTAGAGCATGTATTCAGAATGTCTGTGGGATACAGATGATTGAGAATGAGAGACAAATGAGGGTGATAAGAGGATAACATCACTACCTCACAAGAACAGATCAGCGCATGGTACTATTAAGACCAATGTTATGCTCAGTAGATACTTATCATCTTTCTGTTTGTTATCTTTCTGTGACAATATTAACATTTAAACCCAAGAATCTGCATTAATAAAAAGAGTGAGAACTTCCTTACTACTGATTGAGAAGGGTAACTTCTCTGGTGCTTACAGGCTTTCAACTTCAACAAACTCAATCACAGTTCTTATTCTACACAACCTTTCATCTGAACCAACTCTCCAAGTTTTTCAAATTATTTAAAAATCATGTGTGAGCATGGTGAGACATGTGACCATTCAACAACCAAAACCCTCAATTGTTTTTTTAAGCTTCTTCTATCCAAAGTCATGGTATTTGTGACTCAAGAGCAAAAAAAAAAGTATTTCATTGGGTTGGTTTGGTTTCCACTGTTAATCACAGAAAAATGGGTGAGAAAGAAAATGTAACATTGAGAGGAAATATTACTCCTCTTAACCTTATTCTGGTTCCAAGAGCCAGAATGACTACCCTAGTGAGGAGGAAGGTGGTCACGTTGCACCTCCTTACTGCAGCCGAGGTCACATGGACCTGGCTTAAGTTCTCAGCACCACTGCTCATTACTGGGAAGTGTTTAAAGAACATTACTTAAACTCTTTGAACTCCAGAGTCTTAATTAGAAAAAAATACAAAAATACCTACTCCCACAATAGTTGCATTGCTGTGAAGGTTTACAGATATACCATGCCTGGCACCTTTCTTTCATATTTCCCTCTTCCTAGTCACAGCTATTTAGCTGCTCCTCCTGCCTTCGTGGCTCCATAGGTGGCACAGGTTTTTGCCTTAGGCTTCTGTGTCCTCAGGTGCTGGGCACATAAAGGTACTCAGTAAGTATTTACTTTTGACATGGCAGTGAGAATCCACTGTGGATCTCTAACCATTCTTAATGAACCAAGCGGCAGAATTTCCTGTTATAGTTTACTTATGAGTCAACAGCCTCTGCTGGCTGGGTAAACAGCAGAGCACAGAAGTGGGCTCTGGAGAGTTACAAAGGAGGGGTAAAACACCAAACACCATTCCTACCTACAAGAAGCTTATAAACAAATGGAAGAAAGAAGTTGCGTGAAAGAAACCTATGACTCTACACACACCAAAAGGCAAGAATACCTACGTAGAAAGCTAGGTCCATGATAAGAATTGATGAGCGGGGCAGGATGCAAGGGTGGGTAGGGGGAAGGTGGTTTCTGGACTCTGATGAGGCAGCCATTGCCTGAATTTTGTACTATACTTAGATTTTTTTAGTACTCTCATGCTTATTCTGTTGACGCTATGCTTTTCACATTTTTTTCAAATACAACTATATGTACATATATGTGCGCATATATATATATAAAATATCCATATATAAAAGAATGCTCTACATAAAAATAATTATAATAAAGCTATCATGTCTAGAGGTACTTGTTAGGTGGCCAAGGAGTATGCTTGAGCCTGTCTGCTTTCTATCCTAACAGAAATTTATAGACCACTCACCGAGAGTCTGGTTTTATAATCTAGGAGTCATCCCAGGAGGAAGATCCCTAAGGAGATGATTCTACTCTTTCCCCACTGCATTCTGTACTGTTCTGCCACCCTAATCTTTTCAAACATTCATTTCTCTCCATTACTCAAAGCTCTTAATGGGTAAAATTCACATGTCCTAGTATGGAATTGAACATCATTTATAATGTCCCTGACTTGTGTTTCTATCTTTTCCCACAAGTCTTCACTACCCTCCTAACACTCCACCATACTGGGCCATATATCAAATATACCAGGCTCTAGTTATGCCATACATCTTTACTTTTTATTTTCATCTTTAGTACAATACTAACATAGGTTTGAGAATCTTTGCAGTTTGCGGAGTGCCTTTCCTTCCCCATTTCTATCCTAATTCATATGCTACCTCTTCTATAACATTTTCCTTAAATTCCTCAAACTCGAGATCCATCCTTGAGTTACTCACCACTTTAATCAAACCACCAACTCAGCATCATGTTACAGGTATGTATTCCACCCTCTCTTAGAAGCAAGGATCATGATCTGATTTTCAAAGTTCCAGAATAAACAGTGGTGGCCAATACACCAATTGAATTGGCATGGTAGTTGTATCACTTAGCAGCAGCTTTCTATGGAGAGCACCTACATATATCTCTAAAATAAAGCATTACCAGTAATCCTTGATTTTTAGGTGTCTTCAGTGGGTTGACTACAACTAACCTCTCAATATAGATATTTAAAGAATCATCATATTATCCAAATTATTCTCATACAACTTTCAGATGGTGATAATTTAATTTCATCATGTGAATATATGAAATAGATATATTGAAAAACCTGGAGAGCAATCTTCCAATGATAGTAAAATAGGCAAGTGTCCATGAGCAAACAGGCTAAAGTTAAAACAAAAACAGAGGTAGGTCAGTGCAAATAGGAAACAGAATAAGTAATACGTTTAAGAGTCAAGAAAAATCCTAAAAGATCTAGGCATAGTGTTGCAATACAAGTTGCTTGTGAATCATCAGTGGAAAGTTTCTATCAAACTATAGATTAAAACTTCACCAAAGTGACATTCATATTATATTTAGGAAAAAAAACTTCCCAATATCGTAGGCTGTTAAACAGTAGCAATTACAAAGTAAACTCACTAGTCAAGAGAAAAATATCAACCAGTAGGTTAAGATAGAGTTCTGAATGTAATTATCTCCAAAACACACTGCCAGATGGCTACAAAAGAATTATGGTCCCATCTGACTTTTGTAACAAATAGGGAGGAGACAACTTTTAGAAAATGCTTTCCCCATGGAAGTTAAAAACAGAAGTCTAAAGAGTTCTAATAAGGAGGAATCCTACTAATGACCTTGGAACTTTTTACTAGTCATGGGAGCAATGTCCTTTAAACCCATTTCTGGGAAAATGAGAAAATGCATCCTCGTATAGTTCTCATGATTTCTTGTTCATAAAATTAAACTTGTTTACTCTCGAAACATACTCTTGAGTGTTTACATCACCAAGTTTTCTTAACTTGGGGGGGTGTCTAAATTTAAATATTATATTCAAACAATCAAAATATTCTACATTGATTTACTAATTAATATGAAGAAAAACAGACAAGACACTTTGTATCACAATTAACAATGTGCAAGGAAATTAGTTAGGATAAATATTTATTTCCACATAACATTTCTTAGTTGTGAAAAACACAATATCCTAGTCACATTTACACATTACTTAAACTTTGCACTAAATTACATTCAATATATTCAGTAATTTTGACCAGGAGTCTGAAATTAGGAGTAAATATATAACACTACATTTTTCTTATATTTTTTATGATTTCAAAATATTAGGTTAACATAGGGATAGCATTAAAATTCACACAAGAACAAAATGACTATAAAAATACTCAGAAATACAGAATTTCATTGGATATGATTGCTTATTCAAATAGGAGATCACGTGAAGGTTTTAACTCACTATGATCATTTTAACAGAACAGTCATTAATATATTAAAACACTAAGAGGCTGCTTCTGGGACTGACTGGCTAAATCATAAAACAATGGAAATGTTTACAATATAGTATCTCTATTATAAAATACACAAAGGCAACACATCTGGAACAGGAAGTTTCTGTATTTTTCTTCAGCATTTATAAATAAAAACTTTATTAACTGCAAATTATTCTTCCCATAATTTTTAAGCTCACGTTCCATAAGAAAAAAAAATCTTTAAAGGATTATGAGGGTAATTTGTAAAATGTATCAAAATATTGAACCTAATGGAGGCTTTGTTGATTTTTTTCCCTCATTAGCTTAATCACAAGAAGAATTTTTTTTGCACTTTTCATGTGCACTTACAGAGTACATAATTAATAGTCTGAAAAAGCCACAGGGCTCTGAATTATTGTAAACTTGAACATTGAAGTATTATAAAGTTCATGATCATTGATCATACTTAGGAACCAAGAGCACTATGAGATTTAGTCTTTATTAAGTTCATATTCATCTAAAATGGAATGAAATTGTATTTTAATAATACTCAAAAACTTCTTAACTTTCCTTCCTCTTGTATAAGCTTGGTAAAGATGCATTATTCCATTTGGACTGAAATATATACAGAATGTTCTCAAACAGAATCTAAAATTTTCATTTAAAAGATTGTTTTCCACAACATGCAATAAGTAAAAAGTGGAAAAAACTTTGCAGAGAAAAAAAAAGTACAATTGGAGACCTATTGGTCTAACATTAGAATGTGATTCAGGACCAGCATTAAGCAGTACATGACCACTAGCAGCAGATAACTGTACAGGAGTGGAATTTCATGTACAATGATTCACATGTGATATTCCACGTGCATGTATATAATAGGTTTATTTGGAAAACATCTGTTTTCAATGGGAGAGAAACTTAACAGCACATTTCTGATAAAGGTTTATATGAAAATCCCACAAAACTGTTACAAAGTTTTTCTAAAGCATTTCGTACAAGCCTACTATTTAATCATGTAGTCACAACTTGAATTTTAAGCAAATACTACTTGACTCCTTTGCATCATATCTGATTCTTTTTAACAAGTTTTGAACAGGTTTCTATATAGTTTTTCAAATGACTTTAAGTTTCAGTTACATATAAATTGTTAAGTATTAAATGTATCATATTAAATCAAGGAAATGCATAAATACAATTATTAAAAATGCTTTCAAACTAACTTTTTGATTTGGGTCTTTTGAAATAAGTCACTAACGCTAAGCTATAAAAAATAAAAAGAAGTAAGACTATCTTTCAAAATTCTTCTGAATGAAATTATTAGACATCTTCAGGTCACTACAGTAGGAAAATACAAACTTGGTAAATATGACTTATTTCTTTAAGGAAGCTATTGCTCTCATAAAACTGACAATGAGAATCCAGTATTTACAAATGTCTAACATACAGCAAGGAACACATAGATTCTTACATTACCTATTGTTTCTGCTCACAAGGGTGTCTCACCGTTCAGTTGTTTAAACACAGAAATGAAACAAGTATTGCACTACTTACAGTATGAAGGTGGATTTGGGATGAGAGACAGAATTTACAATACATGATCAAAGCAGTTTTATTAATAATTGTGACACTCTTCTCATATATATGTAAAAAATAAATTGAAGATCAAGTCATAGACAAGTCTCCCTGTCAACACCTTTCCCTGAGTCAGCTTTCTTCTCTTTTCGGCTTTCAGTGCTACAGGGGAAAAAAGGAGAAGTTTATTACTGCAATCCAACATGGCTACAGTGAGATCTGCTTGCTCAGACACAAAAACCCATCAACTCCAAAGCACCACAAGAGCTCTTAGGCATCACTCTGTCATGCTGCAAAGCACAGATAGACAGCAACAATTAAAATCCTCTGCACGCAGTGAGGTAGAAACCACGAACTGCAGAGAGGGGGGAATTCAAAACAGACACTAAAAAACAAAAACCAGACATTTTTAAAACAGTTCCAAAGGCATGCAAGATTAATACCATGATCCTCATTTGGGCAAATGACTCACTGATGATTGTTGAAAATGTCAACCATACCCCATCTTAAGACAGCGCCAACTCTAGTATTAATAAATGACACGAACAAGATGTCACAGGAGACATTTCTGGGCTCTGCTAAAAGCGGCTCATCCTTTTTACCTGGACTGGATCTTGACCTTTAGTGAGGACTTTACCTTGGTCAGGTAAGACAGACACATCTCCACTGGCCTAGAGGACAGGTCACCATGCACACTGCTCTCCAGACACCTGTGTTGTCTCTTTACAGACAAATCCTCACTCTGAACATCAAAGGAAGGATGTTTTCCCTCACTCCTCCTCAAATAAACTCATTCCAAAGTGGCTTCTGTTTAATTTCATCCTCCAATTAACTTTACTGATGGGCAAGCTAATAATATGATTCTACCATTTTTGTCTATTTCTTTCAATATCTTTCCACTGTATATTTTTCCTACTCTCTTATTGACAGTTTTCATGGAAAATTCAAATAATGCCTTCACATGGATCAAGCTCACACCAAGAGAGTATGTTTGGCGGGGGCAAGGGCAGCAGAACTGCTCACCCCTCCGCCCCCCACACGACCACTTCCAGTGCATGGCAAAGCCCTCTACATCTAGGGTTCTCTGTGACCCTCCCACTGTGACGTGAAGGGAAAGTCACAACCAGCTTCTGAGGCCCTGAGCTGGAAGAATTTACAATTTTTACTGTTAACTTCAGCCCTTAATATAAATTTATGAAGCAGTTGATCATGGGGACACCGTTGCTTTTATAACTCTTCCCCAAGTAATAAAGTAATAAAACTCCATTTTTCTATGGGGCCTTCTGTGCGGCTTTCTTAGTGGTCAATAACTCAGACACATTCTTAGAGTGTGTTTTTTAAATTGTTTTTCCTCCAATTCAAGCTAGAAACAGCCCTTCTCAGTTGTCACCACCACCCGGCACCATCAGGTAAGAAGTGCTGGAGCTTCTGCCATCTGTGGCACGCTGCCAGCGCTGAGAGCTGGTGTGAGCGCATGTCTATGGCGCCCGGGTTTGTGCCTGCCACACTTCTCAGCGCATACTACTTACAGGTCAGAGCAAAGCAACTTTTCTCCCTTTTCTTTTCTCTTTCCATGAGAAGAGATGACAGTGTGCACATGATGTGTTGAGAGCCTAAACTCTGTATTTTTAACTCCTCTATCTGTATGATTCACTTTCTTCTACTTTGAGTTCCTTTTATATGACAAGCGCCTGCTCTCCTGCTTTCCAAATTAACTTTTCCTTAGGGCTTTACCTGGCTCCTAGTCTTTTTTGCCAGACAAAGCCGATGAAACAGGGCAGCCCTGGGCTTGGTGTTGAAAGATCTGGGTTCAGTTACCAGAAGCTAAGAATGAGCTGTATGACTTTGGACTAGTTATTTAATCTCTCTGAGACTTGGTTTCTTCATCTGTAAAATTAGTTTTGGACTAGATGCCTCTGCATCCCCTTGTAGCTCAAATTCCAGAATTCTAAGGCTGGTATTCCCAATTCCAATGAACTCTATCTTTTAAAAGATAAAATACTCGATCCTTTCTGTAGGAGATTGTGGGGACAGGGACGTACTGGTCCCTGTACATGCACAGTTTCTATATGCACAATACTTTGGAATGTAGGAGGTGTTCCATAATCTTTTGTTAAACAAGTGCGCTCCCAATGGCACTATTCGTCACCAAGTATTGAATAAAAGGATTCAGAATGTCAACTTGATCCACTGATGTGCTTTCTCCTGATGCCCTGCTTTGTTTATATTGGTTGTTTGGTTACAAAACAATAACCGATTACATGACTTTTTTTTAAATTTCCTTCATTAACACCATGGTTTGGTATCAGATTAGATTTCAGCAAATTATGAAGCAGAAATTTTATAACCAGCTCAAGACTTCTGTGAAACATATTCTCAATCTGAATCTTCTTACTGTTCGGCTATTGCTCTCCAGCTTCCTTGTTACACTCATTTTTCTGGATGCCAATCAATTTTATGCTTTCATTACAACAAATATGTATTGCCTATCTATTATTTATCATTATAATAGACATATATTACATATCTATTATATATGCCAGTTACTCTGCAAAGACTTTGGAATACAAGATGGACAAGATTGCCCCTGCCCTTGAGGAGTTAAAATTTAAAACGTAAGGAAGTAATATTTCAAGAGAGGGCAAAAAGTGATCTGGTACTGTCATGCTGCTAAGTAATCTATGAAATCATTACTTTTCAATGGCACTAAAATGGCTGTTATGAACAATATTTACCAAGCACTCATGAGAGAGCCTAGGCTTAGGAAATCAGAGCAAAGAAGGATAACCCAGAATAGAAGAAGGTAGTGGGGAGTGCAAGGGGAGGGCCCTGGTGAGAGGTTTGTGGGGAGGACGGTGGTCCCACAGCCAAGCCTCTGCCACCAAGGCAAAACTAAGTGCTGCTTTTCCTAGCATTGCCAGGGATCTTCTCCAGAAACAGTGATCTTGGATGTTAGTATTATAAAACCTAGCAGTTCTCACCTATTCTGAGGCAATGTGGTTTTTAATAAGCCCTATTTCCACCAACTCATTCTATAAGCTGCAGAGGTGCTTGTTACATGTATGTATGGTGCTAGGATCAAAATCAGACATCCTCCAGATATAGCAGAATTTGCAGTTAGTTCTTAGAGTCTACTCTCAGTTAAAGTAGATAAAATATTTTGACAACAAAAAATGAATGAAATAATTGAGAAAATATAACTTCCATTCCAAATTCCACCAAGAAAAGTTTTCTAGCATTCTCTGAGGTACTTACAGCAAGGGGTGGGACAGAAAATAACTCTGGGGGGGGAGGGGAGGGGTATCAAAGGCTGCACAGAAACCAGCTTAGGACTCAGGAGATACAGACCCTGGTAACCTGGTCTTTAGGCCTGTTTTTGTCAATGGATACATTTTCATAGTTCCTGATCATCATACTTTAAAGCCTTCAACAGATACCAAGAGAAAGCAGCAGTTTTGGAAGGGTATTGCTTTCTTATTAATAGTATCAGTGGTTTGAGGATTTCAGTAAGCTATACCCTGTCCAGAGCTTCTACCATTATGAGGATAAAAGACATTAACCATCAACCAAGAGATATTTTTCACATGGGAAGTTAAAACAAAGCTAAAAACAAAGACTTGTTTTTTGTTTTTGTTTTGTTTTTTTTTTTTGAAACAGAGTCTCTGTCACCCATGCTAGAGTGCCGTGGCTTCAGCCTAGCTCACATCAGCCTCAAACTCCTGAGCTCAAGCGATCCTCCTGCCTCAGCCACCTGAGTAGCTGGGATTACAGGCGCACACCAGGATGCCCAGCTAATTTTTTCTATTTTTAGTAGAGACGGGGTCTCGCTCTTGCTCAGGCTGGTCTCTAATTCCTGAGCTCAAGCCATCATCCTGCCTCGGCCTCCCAGAGTGCTAGGATTACAGGTGTGAGCCACCACGCCAGGCCAGAAAGTTACAGATTTGATCACATCAAAAGGTAAGGAAAGCTAAGTAAACTTTCATCCCACGATAGTGGAAATAGCTTTATTTCAGCAACAAGAAATAAAGAAATACTATTTTATCTCACATTGGTGAAAATACATGTTTAAAGAATAAGAAATAGTGGTTATATTGAAATATAAAGGATGAACTATTTAAAATTGGCCCATCTTTAAAGCACATTGCATTATTCAGTAGAGTGAATTTACTGTCTGAAATCATCTAAATACATGTTTTTTTAAAAAAAGATGTTTTTGGTCTAGTGTTACTTGACTTGACTTTAAGGAGTGCCTAAAATAACATGTCATAAAAACTTTTGCTTGAACCAAAGAAAAACAGAGGAAGAGTTAGGACTATGAATCCATACTATATAGGAAGAAAAACAATCTAAAGATTTGATTGTCTCAAATTCTCCACATATTTCCCACAGACAGCACTTTTTTTTTTTGAGCTCATGAACCTGGACTTCACATTTTTTTAAAAAATTAAAGAAATGCCATATTTTACATGTGAAAGGGTCCACAAGTATATATTTCAATGGGCTTAAGATATTATCCTCATAACTCTGATTTTCTTCCAAGAGTTCTAGCAAAACAGAATTACTGTGAGAATTATCAGATTATAGCAGGGATTGTTGGGAAAGGAAGTTAAAGAATGTTTTAGAATAAAATGTTACTTTTGCTTGAGCCAAGCAAAGAAATACATGAAGGTTTTTAAGTCCTATTAAAAGGCAAAAAATATCAACCAAAAGTTTTTGAGAAAGCCTATTGAGTAACATATTAACCAACTTTGGAGTAAATTTTGGAGGTAGTTGAGAGACAGAATCCCCAGTTTCTGGGATGAAGACTCTGCACATTTGCTGTTTGTCTTGTCCTGTTTATGCTGTTTGGTATAGAGATGACACTGAAGCAGCATGCCATTTTGGGGTGACAAAAACCAGCAACAAAAAATATAGACATACAAATCTAACTGTATTACCAAATACAGTTCCATGACATTTGTTGATTTATATATGATGCATTTGTATAAATCATGGAGGAAAAAAACTTTACTCAAGTTTCAGACCCACTTAAAGAGCTGAGTAGTTATAGAAATGCCATGAAACTCAATCTGATACTAGATCTGAGCCCAAGACTTTCCATGCCTTTTGCCTCCCCAAAACTCACACAGAGGACAAAGACTAACCAGGTTTCGAGAAGACACCATTTAACATAAGGAAATGCAACCAAGGAATAGGTTTGAGGGAGAGGGTCTTTCTTACCTTTGGGGAATCAGCTTCTAGAGTGATTAGGAAGGGGAGCTTATAACAAAAATGTAATATAAAAATTAAGTAGAAAAAGTTAATTTAAGGTTATAAAGAAGGAACTTAATAATCATAGTAAACACTGTCCCAAATCCCTCAATCACTTTCTAACAAGAAGAGATATTAGCGTAACATAGGAATTCCTTTTTTTCAGATCAGCATCTAAGGAGACTTGGTGAGTTGAACTCTTATTTACAAATTCTAAAAAATTCAGTTGGAAATCTCATCTTGATATTTAAGGATACATTCTTGCCCCAGCATGCACTTAAACTATAGGAGTTGTTCGTATGTTTACATACAGAAAAGTAAGAACAGATAGAACTTTCAGGAGCTGAAAGTTTTGGGGTAAGAAGCTTATAAAAGATTTTCAGGGGGTTGGAATGGGGGACGGGGACTAGAAATATGCTAACTAGAAAATCATCATTGCTTACATACAATGCATATTGGCTTAAGAAAAGGGAAATGAAGGAGTGCAAAATGTGGTCGGATACCTAAAGGGGTCCTGGGAAGTGGGTGACAAAGAATAAAATAAAATCATACTGCAAAATAGTAGGCCAACATGAACATCAAAAAGACCATGCATGTCAGGACTCATTTATAGAACCATTTCCCCCCACTACAATAATTTGGGAGTAAGCTTTTAATTTGAAAGAGAGATGTTGAAAAACATACCAACATTTGGGAAAATTATAATTTCTACCCACTTTCAAAATGAATTTCTGAAATAGTTTAGATCTAAATTTGATGGACACCAATATTATTCTTTTGATAATGGATTTATGTCAAAAACAATTAGAATCAGTATAAATTCTCATTATTTTAAAATTCAAACCTTTTAGAAGGAAAGCTTGACTCCTTATCTTTTGTGTTATCGGCAGTAATCAGAAGGTTCCTCCACAAGGCAGTCTTTGACATTTCATCAGAAATATTGATCACAGATGGATCATCTCTAGATAGGAGTTTATCCAAAATGAAATAATAAACATTAGAGAAATAACTGCAGTTATTCATTGATAGAAACTAAAAGTAGGACAATCTTATGTCTATGTAGAGTATGTTTTCCTAATTTTTTTATGGTGGTAAAATACACATAGCATAAAATTTGCCACCTTCACCATTTTAAATGTCCAGTTCAGTGTTATTAAATATATAATACATAACATAATGTTGTGCAACCATCACCACCATCCATCTCCAGAACTCTTTTTATCTTATAAAACTAAAACTCCATGCCCACTAAACAAAACTCTCCATTTCCTCCTCCTCCCAGCTCCTGGCAACCACCACTCTACTTTCCATCTCTATGATTTTGACTATTCTAAGTGCCTCATGTAAATGTAATCATACAGTATTTGTCTTTTTGTGACGGGCTTATTTTACTTAGTATAATATCCTCAAGATTCATCCATGTTGTAGCATATGTCAGAATTTCCTTCCTTTTAAGGCTAAATGATATTCTACTGTATATATATTTATACAATATTTTGTTTTCTGTGCAGTATTTTTGATAATTAAAATGGGGAAGTATTGAATATTTCTCTCAATTATTAAAAAAATTTGTGAAAAATAAAAAATCTAAAGAAAAGTTTGAGCTATATAGATACTGATTTGGTCTGCAATGTTCTTAATTCATTTCAACTTACAGGGATTAGGTTCTGCACAGCCATTGCTTAGGCTCTTGCCCCTAACATTCATGGCATCACAGGTCACTTCCCTCCCGTGCTCAGACCTTCAGTGGCTCCTATTGACTCAGGGTAAAGGCCCAGTCCTTATAAGGCCTGTAAGTCTCTGTCCTCCCCATCCTCCCACCCTTTGACTTCACCTCCTGCCATTGCATCTCTGCTCACTCCTCTCCAGTCACAATGCAATGGCCTGCTGTCTGTTCTGGAACACTACAGGCTTGCTGCTGTCTTGGGGCCTTGTCCTTGTTCTTCACTCTGCTCATAATGTCCCTTCACCTGCTGCGACCATTCCCCTCCTTTGTTCAAATATCACCTTCTTAGACAGGCTCACACTGACTACACTTGTTCAAATTGCTATTTCTGTCTCCTCATAGCACTCCCATCCTTTTTATTTGCTTTTTCTTTTTATTGTACTTTTCATCATCCAAAATACTATACTACATTATTTGCTCATTTGCTCGTGTTCTGTCTCCCTCTACCTCCATTCTACTTGAATATAAGTTCCATGAGGACCAGGATTCTTGACCATTTGTTCACTGCTGTTCCCCTAAGAGCCAAACCTTTGGTACTCACTCAATAAGTATTTGTTGAATAAATGAATGCAGCCTGTGTATTTGATAGAAGTCTTTCCAAATGCTGGGGGAATCTACAACAGCAGGGCCTGTACTATGCTAGGTGCTTTTTTTACATTTTAAAATGGCACCAATTATAGGTAATACTCAGGATGCTCCAAAACATCTCCAGGGCTAGAAACATAACCAAATGGCAGCAGCAATAAATCACAGACCAAGTGAAAGAGTTTCAGTGAATGAGAAAAAAAGCTCTCACTTTACTATACACAGGAAACATACTCTGCTATGGAAAAATCATGTCTCCAGAGATCCCAAGCTGACCTCACATGACCCTCATTGGTGGTTCTTCACAAGAGAGTAACAAATTCAACTTTTAAGAGGAGCAAAACTTTGGATCTCCCTTCCTTGCCCAATTGAGAAATGTGTTCTTTAATCCCTCTAAACCCCCTTAGTCTTCCTAGAAAGATAGTTTCCTACTAAGTCAAAGCATGAGATCAGCTAATTTCTGAAAAAGCATCATGAGAAATAAAAGTTTTTCATATTATGTGAAGAAGAGTCTTGTGAGCAAAAGAGTTGAAAAAATGCTAGATTAAACAAAGTTAAACATGTTTTTATTTTTAAAAAAAGTGCAGTACCACTTAGATTGTTTCATATGCTAATATACATTGTGAATCTCCAAACTGGAATGCAGTTATAGAACATTTTCCAAACTTATTTAACCACAAAGCCCTTTTGAGAGTGGTACCACATGACAGGAGTTTCTACAGAATATTCTTGGTAATATGCTGATTCAACTAAACAGTCAACAGGATTTTAAAATTTAAATGTTGTTAAAAAAAAAAGATAAAATGCCTTCTATACTTGTGCTCATCCTTAAGTGGTATATATTTCCTAAAATTCTAGAGAATGTGATTTTAGAGTCAGACCCTAAAGATCCAGATGATTCTCCCCTACCTTGTTTTTCAACACTGGGACAAATTCCCTCCTCAGAGAAAAAATTTCTCTGTTTTTTTTACTGGCATAGCCTTACATTGTCCTCAAGCACATTGAGATCATAAAATTGGGCACTAAATGGAACATAAATAGAATTGTACAGGAAAACTATTTAAATTATACTGAGAGGGAAAGAAAAAGAGATAATTTTGGGCCAAATACTTGCAAAAGTTTTTATCATAACTTACAGCAGTTTGCTTTCTTGTGCTGTCTTTGTACATAAATAAGATTAACATATTTTGGAGAATTGCATAAATATTTCCCAAAATGACTGAAATGACTCAATTCTTCAACTTGAGAAATAGATTATCTATTTGGAAATGTCTTTTTTAGAAGCAAATTCCCAGAGTCGAAGCATTTATCTGTGATCAATTTGGTGAATACCCAGCTCATTTATACCAAAAGTAAATCTTGACCTGTCTTCAGGTGCTAGTGTCTAAGAATATAAAAGGGATCTTTCATATACATTATAGAATATGGGAATAAAATACTTCAAAAACAGCTCCCATTCTGCTTCCTTATATGCTACTTGGGTATAGTCACACAGCTGGAATTGGCAGCTTAGTACTGCGACTCAGGTAATCTAATCATCAGTCTCAGTTCTTTCTTCTCTAACACAACTTCAACAAACCTCTATGGGAGTCCACATAGTATGAAATTCTTAAATAGAATACATATCAACACATTTGATTATTTAAATTGTTGTTTTTTTAAACTTCTATCTTACCTGTAGTGCCCTTCCAACGGGAGTTGCACTGTGCCCTCATCTTCCATAGCTAGCATACTTTGTTCTTCCTGAAAAGACAAATGTAAAGTATACAAAGTGAACCTGATGGATCTCCATTTTACATTAAAGAAGAAACACAGATTAATGTTTCATTATCTCATTAACCTCAGGACCTTCCACTCTGTTTGCATTTATTAATGTTAGCACAGGTCCTTTCAATAAAGTATCAGCTACTAAGAACATAAGTAATTAATGAGAGTCTCATAACACAAAGTAATTTAAATGCTAACAACAATCTCCTTCATGTCACTCAATGAAAAACTGGTTAACTTCCAAGCAGATTTTTAAAAAATCAATCTAAATTTTACAAGGACAAAAGTATGGGTAATATAATCAGTTCTACTGTTATAAAGTTGAAATTATATTCCCAGAATGCTCTATTAGGAGGGAATGAGGGATGTACTCAGAGCAGTAGTTCTCAAACTTTAGTTTATATCAGAATCACCTGGAGGACTTGTTAAAAATATGGATTGCTGGGTCCCACCCCCAGAGGTTCTGATTCAGTGAGTCTGGAGTAGAGAAGACACAAGAATTTACATTTCTAACAAGTTTCCAAGTGATGTTGACTATACTGGTCTGGGGTCCACACTTAGAGAATCACTGCTCTAGAGACTTGGAAAGAGACAGTGGAAGGTATCTTCCTGTATGGATCAAAACACAGTGTGCCTTGATGGAGGAGAAAATCAAGTAGTTGGACTCCATTTAGAAGTGTTTTAGACTTTGATGTCTCAAATTGCTTCTTACAATGACAATATTCCGCCCTTCTACAAAGGGTGGAAATGCTTCATATATTTATATATACATTTCTTCATATATAACATTTTTTCCTGTTAGAAATATAAATTCTTGTGTCCTCTCTACTCCAGACTCACTTTGTGTTTTGGGATAAAGATAATCTTATGGCTACCCTACTGAAATGTCCTGGCTTAGTTTTCAAATAATGTTATCATCAAATTTTTTCCATGCACCAAAAGAGAAAGTTATCTATAGATTATAGCTCTCATTCAATATATTTATTTTCAAATGGATCAATTAGCATGGTTTAAGTTCAAAGAATTATTTAAGGTCATTTACTAATGGCTCTAACTCCAGAAATGGAATTTTAAGATTTATGGACATGAAAAACTAAGTGACCCCCTGCACAAATGGAAACTGATGAGAGAAAATAGCGATGGCCTTGATGGCTCATCTCCTGCCCTCTTTCAGTAGCTTAGCAGAGCTAAGCTGGCCTAACCAGCCTCCAGAGAGACCTTAGGTTGATGTCATTATTCCTTGTGTGCAAGGGTGTTCCTAAGGTGATCAGATCTTAGCCGTCCACCTGACACTCCATAGTCTACATAGCCCATGCCATATTTCTCATTACTTAAAGAAACAAAGTGTTTTCTAGTGCCTCTTCAGCTAACCTATGAATATATAAAGCAATGTGAGGGCAGGTCTCATTTCACACTTGGAATACTCTCCCAACCTGCTGGCCCAGGCAGTCCTCTCTCTGCTGGGACTCTGGCTATAGTGGATACAGAATCTCTATTCCTATGCTGTGGAACCAATGGAGAGCCAGGAATTATGTGAGCTCTGCTGCTTCTCTGCTTATAAGCCTCCTCCCAAAAACCCTGTGTCATCTTTATACTCCGTGGGGCTAGTGGCAAGTGCGTTACCCCTTTGCATTCCAGGAACTAATTTAACTCTCTTTCTCTGCTGTTCCTCAAACGAAAAAAATAAATTAGGGCCCATTAGAAGTATTTTATTACTTGTGTATCATGCCTATTCCCCTTGTCATTTGGCAGTACTATTTTTAGAGCTAAATCAAGGTGAGTAGACATACCATTGGTTTGAAATTACCCATTCCGGCACTGCAGAGCTGATATGCAGCCTAGAATGAGGCATGCCTGGCAACCGAGTTAGTAATAATATATGGAATATAGTACATATGTCTTATAAACTTATATGCACATCCCCAAGGCCATGGGCAAAGCATATGTATCATTTCAGGTAGAAAAAGTTACTTTTTGTATAGGAGCAATGAGTACATGGAGAGACATAAAGAAAAGACATTCAGTGATACCAAAGGCTACATAAGTAAAACCAAGATACAAGTAAAGCGCCAGTCTTTCCTTGGTTGCCCAATGAAAGGTGAAGCCCAGTAGTTAGTATCATGTCTGGCCAATCCAGAATAAAATATCAAGAAGCCAGATAGAAAGGTTCAAGAAAGAGTAAAATTCCATGAATCCAAAGAGAAGAACAGTGCTGTCAATGCCTCAGTTACCTGGCAGCAGAAAAGGAAAGCTCAAGATTCAATCTAACAGTAAAAATTGGACCAAAGCTTTGTGAACAATTTTGTTTTTTCTTCAGATGATTTTCCACTTTTCTCTCAAATTGCTTTCAATAATTATTTTGCACTCTGTGGCTTGTTAGCATGTGTGGGCTTTATACTAGTCATAATTCTATCCAAACAAAAACTCATCACCTCTAAAGATAGCTTTTCCAAGCCATGCTTATCTGAAGAGAAGGGTGGCAGAGCAGCCGCTGCCTTCAGTGCCAGAAGGCAGCCGGGTGGGCCCCGGAGCGCGGGGACGGAGGGCCGGCTGCATCCCGGCAGCGCTGTGAGGAAGCCAAAAAGCGAGGCTTTCTGAGGAGGAGGCGTCAAATTGGGCATTAGCCGTCATGGCACTCACAACCTAGGTTATCTCAATTGTACCAGAAAAGAAAGAGAGTGACAGCATAACCCTCACTGGGTATTCGCCACCTTCAAGTCAGAAGTACCTTAAAATGAGTTCCATTTAGCACTTAGCTTACACAGGGTTCATCGAAAAAATACGTGGAGTTCTACAGCATGGGGAAGATGTTAAAGGGGTGATGAGCAAAGCTTGCCCAAAAACATTTGAGGGGTTTCTCCAATTTGACTGAGGGCTATTTACTGTGACTTAAATGCCATCTTTTAATTAAGATAGTCAAATATAAAATAAGTGAAGGACAATTAATGCTATATCCAGTAAAGGGCAGGAAAATTGAGGCTTAGAAAAACAAACCTACTCAACAGCACACAGATATTTACCAAGCATGTATTATGTGCTAGGCACATAGTGAACAAGAAGAATAATCCAGGAGCTATTAATTAATCCATTCAACAAATATGTATTAAGCATGATCTACATGACAGGTAGTTTGCGAGATACTGGGATACAACAATGGAAAGAAAGACAGAAACCCGACAGTCAGAGGATATGAAGGATCACCATGAAAAGCACTGGAGCAGAGGCTGTAGAAAAGAAGAATTCCTAGGTGGGAAGAAACAATATGGACCAACCATAAAAGGGAGGAATAAATAAGATGTGTTTGCATGACAGTGAACAACTAGCCTGGTTGAGCCAAAGGCTTTTTGTAGAAGCGAAAAATAAAATCGAAGTCAAATTCTGGTGTGTTTTGATAAGTAGGGTGTTACACATCAAATTATAACATGAATCTGAACTATATTTTGTGATAGCATAAATATTATAATTCACATATCGTGATACCTAACAAATGCTTTATCCTTTACCTACTTGTAGGGAAATAGGTGACATGTTACTATATCCATTTTTTTCTGGCAAAGTCTGTATCTATGTAGGAATGTAGGAGCCCTCAAATATAATATCTCTGTCTTGAAGTTCAAACAACAACAGCAGAGAGCCAATGTTCACAAAGATGCTTAGAGCACTAGAAAAAATATTCAGCAATTTTAAAATTCACAGATCTTAAGAAATGGAAAGGACTTCAGAAATCAAACTCAAGCCCTTTATTTTACCCAAGAGTAAAACAAAGCCAACAGAACATAAGAAATGTTAAACCATTTCCTTCACCAATTACTAATAAAACAAAGTTGCAAACATTACATATATATATAATCTCTGAAAACCATAAATGTTATATTTATAAGAAGTATTTCTTATGATTTGCAATGAATAGAAGAGTCAATACATAAAACTACTCACTAAAAGCTGAAAAGGAAAAATGGGGAGGGGCTCCATATAGAATTCATATATTATTAAATACATGAATGTAGCTTCTTTTTCATCAGAATATTCGATTTAGTATCTCTAAGTGATTATATATATATTATTAAAAATGTTTAAATTCTGATAGAGTGTCCTTGTATTTAGAAGATAATATTCTGGAGATTCAGACTCTGTGTTTTGAGGAAAGGGCTTATCTCAAATGTTAGCATGCATCAGAATCACCTGGAGTCTTGTTAACACAGATGGTTGGCCCCATCCCCAGAGTTTTGATTCAATAGGTCTGTAGTAGGGCCCCAAGAATTTGCATTCTAACAAGTTACCAGGTGTTGGCTGATGCAACAGAAGTTCTAGAACCACATTTTGGAAAACCACTGCTTGAGGAAGGAGAATATGTTTGTGCCATCCTAAGATTCAATTAGAAATGATATTCATCTGTATAATTTGGCCATGCTTTCCAATCCACAATCAATTCTGACCATTTTTAGTAAGACATCTTCTATAATTTTTGGTTACTCTTGTTTTTAGATTGCTTTTATGTTTTCTTGACCTTTTTCATGATCCTGCTTTATATAGACCAAAAGGCTCCATGCCCGCTTTTGTTTACTCCTATAGTGTATATGTTAGAGTGAACTTCCAGTAAATCGAGAACTATCAGTATCATGATCATTTCCACAGAGTTGAATTTCCAGGAGTTATCTAACATTAATGCTTTTTCCCGCTGCCCAGAAGCAAACATTCTGCTGGGGTTTTCTGCTTTTAACAGTAGCCTTTTGTCAAATATGTACAATGTCCTAGAGAATATTTAAGTAGGAAGGAAGGCATGTTGGTACTCTGAGCACATTTGGACATCCAGAATTTGATTCTGCAGTCTTCCCTTTACACAGAGCAATGTGCAAAATGTCAGGGTTCCAATATTCATTTCTACCCTGATTATAATCCTTTCTTTCTAAAAACTGAAGCATATGCATATGCATATGCATGAAGTACATGAAAATTTGGAACAGAAGCTCTGCGACCTTGGACTGGCCTGTGTAGCTATTTATTCTGCTTAACTCATTATTGAATTTTAAGGTCAAATGAATGTTTTCTCAGTGCCATAAGACCAGAAATGGGCTACTGATAGGAAAACCCTGGAGGATAAAGGTACAAGCTTGTGACTATCATCAAAAGGACAAGAGGTGAGCCTACTTTAAATTCAAGTCTCAGGGAGCTGAGACATTTCTGCCATTTACCATCTTGCCAGATCACGATCAAAGTTACTCAATTAATTTGAGCAATTGCAGAAATGCAACATTTCTGGAGAACTTGTCCCTTTATCACCTTAACACACAGTCTCCTAAAGACTAGGCCTTCTTATAAGATGCCACAGTAAGATCACATCCTTCCATCAAGTCCATAAGCCTCAAGAAAATAGAATACCGAGATCTAGGCAAACAAGTAGAAAATCAACCAGGAATTTAAGATTTAATGTAATCCTTCTTAAATCTTCCTACTCTCTTTACTGAGCATACTCTTTTAATTTAATTCCAAACTCTTTAATTCCAAACTAGAAAGTGAACATCATTAAACTTCCTTTTCTCTCTCCAGTTTGATGGAGAATTAGCTGTCTTTGCAGTAGTCAGAACTATATTTTAATGTTCAATTATGGATTATTTCTTGATTGTATTATTGCTTTTCTTGTTTCTTTCCGTGTGCTGAGGATCACGTGAAAGTATCATCTTATTAATCCATCTGAGATTTTAAGGATCTGTAAACCTACATGGTTAATGTATTGCAAGGCTTTCCCCTCAAACTTGGATCTGATGGATTTAGCTGTAAAATTGCCCCAGTAAATCTTTAAATCTATATTTGTATTCTTTCAGAAAGCATGAGTTCTAGGAAATTTAGTAATATTTAGTTACTTCTAAAATCTTTATCTTCATATTCAGAAAACAGTAAATACCCATTGGAGTACAGTGGATATATAATGTAAAAAGATTAGACACAGGGTCTCTGCCCTGTGAGATTCATCAACTCCAACATGGGCATATGGCACACATACATGCACGTACCACACATACAAAGCCGTGTGAGTGGTTCTGGGCAATGGGAGTGGCAAATGCTAATAAATTTAAGATTATAACCAAACTTGTTCTCTAATATTTCACAGAAAAATAAAAGGTGAACCTGAAATTTTCTTTGAATCACAATAGGGAAGAACTTTAAACATAATATAGTAGATTACATATCATTTTTAATTTTTTGAAGTTCTAAGGGCAAGAATGTTTCATGGTATGAGTATCACATAAGGAGAACGCTGCAGAAGAGATGATTATATGGCTGGTGCTGTTGCTAGCTTACTCCATCAGAAGCAGTAAAGACATTTGAAAGAAAATAAAAATAGGAAAATAAAGCAAAATTACATATGTACATTACCACGTGAGTGTAATTAATAGTATGGTAAGTCCTCACTTAAAGCTGTTGATAGGTTCTTGGAAACTGTGACTTCAAACGAAACAACGGATGATGAAACCAATTTTACCACAGGCTAATAGTTATAAACAAGACTTAAGTTCCTACAGCACATTTCTGATCACAAAAACATCGTCAAACTTCTAAATAAAGACTTAAAGCACTTTTGATATTAAATATTGAAATAAATGTGAGCTATACATAAATTTAAGAAAGATTAGTAAAAACAAGTAAGATAATGAATTACCTAAACTTTGATGAATCTGTGAGTGACAGTGGTTGTAGAGGTGGCGGGTTAAATCAAAGAATAAATGTTTACAAAGAGAAAATCATAAGGAGCACATTCTACCGCCAAATAATATATGGACTGGCTTGCTGAGTACTTTCATACTGAATTGTTTGTTGTGCATTTTGTACGATTATTGTATACTTGATGAATTTTTATTTTGCAATAATTTTTATTCATTTATTCGTTCATTTCCCAACCTGCTTATTTCCAGTTCAGAATATGGGTGTCCAGAGCCACTCCCGGCAGCTCAGGGTGTGAGGCAGGAATCCACTCTGGACAGGACACCATCCCATTGCAGGGTGCACTCACGTACACCCACACTCACTCAGACTGGGAACATATGGACATGCCAATTCACCTAAACAGCCCATCTTTGAGATGTGGGAGGAAACCAGGGTCCCCAGAAAAAACTCACGAAGACAATGGGGAAAACATGCAAACTCCACCCTGATAGTGGCCTGGCTGGGAATCAATTTTTTTCTCATCAATGTTATAACAAAACAATGTTATTTGAGGACCTGCTGTACTGAAATTATCAGAAAGACTGGAAGAGATGCTCATAGCCAATGAGTTTTGTCTTCAAAATTACTTTCTTTGGAATTTAAACTTTCTTGGAAAATGTTTCAATCTGAATAATTTTAATCACATCAAGTATGGATAACCTAAGGCTTTAGAATTTCCATATTCTTGTGTGTCCATCTTATTTAAATTTTACTTGTGCCAAACTCTGTCATATTTTTCTTGAATGGTATATGAGGATGAGAGCAAATATTTACTAAAGCCCTAAATGGAAATAGAGAATATCAAAATATCCTAAAGTATAATTTTTTAAAAACTCTAATATTTAAATAAGAATATGTTAAACAGAAAAATAAATAACATATTTTTAGTGTTACATTATTAGTAGTAGTGGTATGATTCTAAGTATGCCTTCTACGACATTTGGAAAAATTGAAATATTCATACAGAATTAAGATATGTCATTAGGATCACTCTCTACATGTGGGAATCCATTGGCAGTGATGGGGCACCGTGGAAAGAAAAGGAACTACCAATCACATGTTATGTATCCATATTTATAGAAATTTCTGAGCAGAAACCACATTAGATTTTGTGGCCTAATCTGGCCTCACTAAATGAGCAAAACCTTAGACCCCCGAAACACGTGTAAATGAATTCCCCCAAGGAAATAGGAAATATATTCATAGTTTGAGAAAATACTCTGTAGATAGGAAACTGAATACAGTACTGACTACCTGTTAAAGCAAAAAAATAGAAAGAATAATGCACAATTCTTACCAAATATTTTCTTTCAATTTCATTTCTATTCACCTAGTAATTTTATTTTTATATTTTATAATGAATGGGTTCAATCATTCTGTCGAATGTTGTACTGATCATTTTTTTTTCCATTTGCACCCTTTGTAGTTTTTATATACTTTAAAAAATGTAGCCTTCAAAATAGACCCAAGCTTACATATGAATTTTAAATATGTCATAAAACTTAAATTGTTATAACTTATGAAACAGAATAGGATAAATCAGCAGTCCATGAAAATAATTAAATCCCAAAAGTTTCTCAAACAACATTTACTCAATCTTAAATCACTTTGAAAACAAATCAGAGCAACATTTTTCCTCTTAATCATTTCACATATTTCAAGAATAACTAATTTTACATTAGAATCTTTTTTATTTTTATTTTTATTTTTGAGACAGAGTCTCACTCTGTTGCCCGGGCTAGAGTGTCGTGGCGTCAGCCTAGCTCACAGCAACCTCAAACTCCTGGGCTCAAGCGATCCTCCTGCCTCAGCCTCTTGATACATTAGAATCTTTTGATTAAAACTGTGTTCCTTAGGAAAATACCAACAGTAGTAACATCTCTTTTTTCCTCTCACATATTTTACCAAAAAGCAATCATGACATGACCATAATTTGGAAACAGTTAAGCATCAGCAAGTTTCTGTCATCCACAATGGAAAAATAAGCCTTAGGGTAACTAAGTACAAAGTATTTGCATATTTCATTAGAATTTGGTTTCTTCCTGTAAGATCTTCACTCTCTCTCTGTTCAAATCTTTATGATTTTAAACATTAAACTTTCAAACTACTTCACCTGTGTTTGTTAATAATCACTGTGTTTGTTAATAATCACTGTCTAAAGATAAAAACAATAGTTTTGCAAAGAGCTATTACTATGTTCTTTTTTCCTTCTTTATAAAATACTGATTTTACTCTCACTTACTTCCTTTTCAGCATCTTCTAGTTTCTTTTTCTTACTCTCAGGCATTAAGTCATCCAGCCAGCTGAGTTCTCGTTTGGTAAACAACAAGTCCATCAACTTTCTTACAAATACCAGGGCTAACACCTGAAGTAAATAATAAAATACTTTAGAATGGAAAAGATAGAAGATGTAGATTTGCTTATTTGTTTTTTGGTAGAAAACAAGTCAGTTTCTATTAGGGCTGAGATTAAAGTAACATTTGAAGATACATGTGTATAAAACACATGTATCTTAAGTCACTTATTTTAGTACCAAAGTTTGTACTGGGATTTCCAATAATTGTTGTTCCAGTTTTAGTTCATGTGTTTGTGTTTCCAAAGAGACCAGAAAATCAGAGAAAGAGAAAAAGAGTTGATAGAAGTTTCATACCATCATGGGAAACACAATAGCAGCTCTTGAAACTTTTATTATCCACAAAAGGCCGAGGCAACTCATCTGAATAATTGTGAAGAGATGGACTTTTCGAAGTGGTACATGCCTTAGATATATAAAGTCTGGTTGATGTTTTGCAGGCATCCAGAAGAGCTTTATTCTATCAAAGAGCTAAAAGATTAAACACACTAAATTTCTCTTAGGAGTAAGACAACAATAAAAGCAGGAAAAGTTGATGTTTAATATGGTCCAAAATTTTACGTTCACATGACATATCTGAATCACTCTAAAGTTGATATTTGGGCATCAGGACAATGGGATTGTTCTGCTTACACTGTGAATTTCTATAATTTCTGTTTAAGAATATCCCACATTTTCTCAAATATGGTTATAATTTAGAAGACTTTAAAAATGGCAAAGCCACATAATATTCCATAACAACAACAACAAAAAAAATGGCAAAGCCAATGCTACATGTTGCTCTCTTGGAGAGTAGAGCCCTGGGAGTTAAAACATAATCACCACCCTCTTTTTCATTATCTCACATCACAATCTCTTTCCTTATTTGCCCCTCAAGTATGAGCTTCCTGGATACCCATTCTCTGTCCTCTTCTCTCCTGGAATAGTTCATCCATATCCATGGCTTTGACTTTCACATGCTTGCTAATGACTCCCATCCTAGGTCTCTGCCTTGGCTTTGTCTCTCTCTCCTGAGTTTTAGACCTGCATCTAGCTGCAGAGTAGGATGTTTTAACCTCCTTGTTTTGACTCTGCTGTTTTGACTTAGCCACTTCAATTCTCAAGAAAGGTTTTGATGCTAAGTTTACAAACACAACATCTTAACCATAAAGATTAAACTACCCCCACAGTATCCTGAAATAAAAAAAAAAGATTTAAACTAGATAAATTTTTGTTAACGAACTGTTTTCCAGAGCAAATTTTAACTTAATTTCTTGATTAATGTCCAATACTGCATAGTCAAATCTCTTACATATTTTAATTGCATTTTAATAAAATTATTTTCATTGGGATCAATGATATTTATGTTTCAATTTTGCCATATAGCACAATTATTTTCATACTACCTAATATTATTTTAGATTCGACTCTGAGGCCTTTTTTTTTTTTTTTTTTTGAGACAGAGTCATACTCTGTTGCCCCAGGTAGAGTGCAGTGGCCTCATCATAGCTCACTGCAACCTCCGACTCCTGGACTCAAGCGATCCTCTTGCCTCTGAGGTCATTTTTATCAAGCAAACCAAATTTTCTCAATTTGAATTTTATAGATTAAATTGTTCACAAGAAGCTTAAATCTTCAATCACATTTTACTTACTAACAAATTATACTGCATGTTTTATTTTATGTGGATCATTTGGATAATTTTTCTCAGGCCAATTTTTGCAGTTTTCAGTGTTTCCAACAAGAGGTGATTATTTAGAAAATAATGGTTTCAATCACTGTCAGTCACTGTTCTATTTCATGCCATTTCTACAGTAACATGCATTTTCAAAAGAGTATTTAGATTTTATTAGATAACTTATTAAAAAACTGTAAGAAATTCTTATCAAATGTTCCAAAATCACTTTAATATGTAGACAAACAAATGTCCATGGAGTCAAAATGTTAGAGTCAAATCATCCTGTTTTACCAAAACTTGCTTGTACCTATAATAAAAATCCCAAACTGAACATAACACTATCTTTCCTTCTGTGCTGTCTTATGGCATGACATAATCTTTCTTGCCTCAGTTACTTAAACCAGATTCATACATACATTAGTTCATCCATTGATCATTCATTTATTCATATTCATTCATACTTTCCAAAAACATTTATTAAAACTTCTATGAAGAGTACTAAGTGCTGAACTCATTCCTGGTTCATCTCTCTCCATACTGTCCGTATAGATGTCATTAGGTCTTTTTATTTCTACTCCCTAAATACCATTTAAAATTAGAAGTCATTAAACAAATAAAACTTGGTGCATAATGGAGGTGGGAATAGGAAGGAAATAAAATCCTCTAACTTAAAACTGAGTATTTCCTTTTCTATAGAACTAATTTTTCCCAGCCACCATTTCTCCATTTGTGAAGTTCTGTTATTGCATAAGTGTACTTTAGTGTGTGGGTGCTTCAATTGTTATTGTTTAAATGGCACATTTGCTTTACTTTGGATCCCTAAAGTGTTGGAATGAATATAGATGTGGTTATATATCTGAATACAGAAACAGCATTCATGAGAACATTGTGATCTGTTTTTTCTGCCATCTTTCACAGTGAGAAGCCTAGATAATAAGTTTCTTAATATTGCCAAACAAGCAGGTAACATACAGATTCCTCCACCATATAGGGTAACAAATTATAATAACATGCTCCTTGAACTGTTGATAGTCAGTGTATATTTAAGTAATAATAATCATGGTAAATGTATCCTAAGTTTTGCATTTGGCTTTTAGCATGTCCCAATATCAGTATCACATTTCCCCACCCAGTTAGCTACAATTCCAAATAGTCATTTCTACTGCCTGAGTTCATTGCTCTCTTACATTTTCACAAACCCTGTTTCTCAGTGTGAGACCCTGTTTGTCAATGTGTGACCTGGCTTGCTGTTTCATTTGTGTTATTTAAAATTCATTATACTTAACTTATGGGCCTTTTACAATGTTTTCTTCAATTTTCATTTAAAAGATTCACACCCCAAATAATTCCAACACTTGACATTCTTGTTTAATTCTAAAACTCATGGGTATAAAATCATGAGAGTGGAATTAGGGGGAAAAATCTGTTGAAACCTATCAAAATGATTTTATTTTGTTTCTTAAGCTTCTGCTGCTGTATTTATGTAAGCCTGGGGCCTAATAATAAATACTTTTCACTTACAGATGAAATTAGTACTCGTGGAACTTTTGCCAAAGGCAAAAAATAAAAACAACAACCAAAAAAAAAAAAAAAACAACAAAACCCAGCAAAACAAATAAATAAAACCTCTTCGGTACTGTTCCCTATCTGGCTTACCAAACCAATTCTATCAAAATACCATTTTCCTACGTGAGATTTTTTAAATGAGCAAATTAACCCTAATTTGAGTAAAATTTAAACACATAACACTTCTCAGCCATCTCCCTCTCCCAGTTAAGTTTACCCAGCATTGGGATGAAGGGTCAGTCATACTATCTACTTTGGGTGTTCAGTGGTCTTCCAATGACTTCATGTTGAAGGTTGCCTCAGTCTGACATCCAGCACTGTCCTAAAGCCTGAGTGCTGTTTCTTCTCCCAAAGTCAGAATCCAGTTAGTTGTTCATTCAGGAACTGAGATCCTGTGCTACTTGTCCTTTAGTCAGGTGACTATTCTTTTATACGTTCTGAACAGGAATGAATCTAGTGTCATAGAAAATGCTGCAATTTATATTTTCCTTTTAATTGAAAAAACAACTCTATATAATAAATAAACCTCTAGCCTCATTTCCAATAAAATGTGAGTGTTTGGGCTAAATAATGTTATAAAACAAGATTCTTCAAAGGACAATTTAAGTAGAAATCTGTGTTACTTTCCTAGGGCTGCCACAACAAATTATCACAACTTGTCAGTTTAAATCACCAGAAATTTATTCTTTCTACAGTTGTGGAGGCCAGAAGTCTGAAAGCAAGATGTTGGCAGGGCCATATTCCCTTTGAAGGTCCTAGGGGAGAAAATTTCCTTGGCTCTTCCAGCTTCAGGTGGCTCCTGTCATCCTTGGCTTGTGGCAGCAAAACTCCAATCTCTTCCTCCATTGCCACATAACCTTGTTCCCTGTGTCTCTCTGCATCCTATCCTCTTATAAGAACCACAGTCATTAGATTTAGGGCCCACCCTAAATCCATGATAATCTCTTGAGATCCATATCTAATTACATCTGCAAAGACTCTGTTTCCAAATAAGGTCACATTCTAAAATTCCAGGTAGACATAAATGTTGAGGAAGCACTCATTATTCGATCCATAACAGTATCGTAAAAGAAATAAGCAGGAAGCATTTGCCAACAGCCTCCGTAAAGGTTTGGAATATACTTGTGGTGATTTTAAAATGTGTCCATATATTCTCTGATACTCTTCTCTTTAAGCAATGGAGTTTTCCCTTTCCCTCCTCTTGTGTGTAAGCTGGACTTAATGACTCACTTCTACAACAAATAGAAAAAAGTAGAAATGACCATGTGTGACTTTGGAGATGAAGTCAAAAGGCACCGTGACTTCATCCTCACTCTCTATCTGGTATTGCTCACTCTGAGGGAATTAGGTTCCATGTCCCAAAAACACATAAGTATTCTATAGAGAGGCAACTGTAGCAAAAAACTGAGGCCTCCTACCAACAACCAGAAAGGAAACGAAGCCTCTTGCCCACAGCTGTGTGATAGACATCTGAAAGTAGATCTTCTAGCCCTATAAATCCTTCAGATGACTGTGGCTCTTGTCCACATCCTGACAGCAACCACCTGAGACACCATGAGCCAGAACCACCTGATTAATCTGTTGCCAAATTCATGACTCCCAGAAACTGTGAGATAATAAATATTTGCTGTTTTAAGTTGCTAAATTGTATAATAATTTGTTATGCAGCGATAGAAAACTAATACAATGTCTAAAATATTTAACCAATGCTTACTTAAACAATGCATAGTTCCCTGTATATTCAAAACTGCCTTCATTGTTAGTCTAATTTTTAAAGTAAATCTATACATACAATTCTAATAATAACAGAAAAACAAACATAAAAGGAAAAAAAAATCACCCAGGATCTCACTATTTTAGTGAATTATTTTTATTTCTCCATCTTCCTTTTTAATCTAGCTCAAACTCATAGTTTTAACAACCTATGGTAGGTAGTTTTTCACTTTGCATTATATCATTAGCATTTTTATCATGTTGCTTTTTTGGTCATCATAATTATAAATTTTCAGTGACTGTACCATGGATTACTTAATTATTTTACTACTGTTGGATAATTGGGTTGTTTCTAATATTTTAATATATGTGTTACAATGAACAACTTTTGGTGTAAAGTTTTTTCTATTCTCATGGATACAAGTCCAGAAAAATGATTAGAGTGTCAAAGATTATAAGCATTTGGATATATCTAGAAGCATACTGCTATTAGTTTTCTAAAAGCTGTAAAATCTAAACCTCTTACAATTTTAATATACATATGGTGAATAAAGTACTCTTAAGATTATGAACCTTAGATGCTGGAGAGAATCTTCCTTAACTTTTGTAACTCTGATCAGTTTGAAGAAATTTAATTGTGATCTAAAATCTACTCCTTGGGTGATGTCATTTTCTTAGCTGTCCCATGACTTATCATCAATAGACCTTAAGATAAGTCATCATAGATGTGCTTGCAGTATTGTAAATAATTTACCTGAATTCCCTTTAGAGATGAAGCACCCATATAAAGAAACACTCCATATAGCACTGGCATGGGAATAAACTGTAAAAGAACAATTAGAGAAAAGGCACAAATTATTTTAAAATATAATGTGGTCATGCTATTTTGCACTTACCAAAGAGAAAAACAGGGAAAAAAGGGTATTTTAGAACAGAAGCAGTATAGTACAGAACCAGAAGACATGAGTTCAAATTCCAGCTCTAGCACTTTTTAGCTGTGTAATCTTAAGTAAGTTACTTAAGCTCTCTGTGCCTTAGTTTCCCAGAATCTAAAAAGAGATGATAATAATAAGGTTGTTGTAAGTATTCAATAGGTCAAAATCTGTTTAAAAAAGCATGTGATATATAATGAACAATAATATTAACTATTATTATGCCACTTTAGACACAATTTGAATTTTGTTTCACAATAGTAAAATATTTGAATTAAAGGTAAAGCATAAAGCTAACATTTAGATTTTGTTCCTACATTATGTCATATACTTTTACACATGTGGATTGTTCAAATTTTCTCTTTTTATTGGAATAGTTCATCATCATCTTATGTCTATAATTACTTATATAACAAATTAATTCTTGCAAACTTGTGTAAATGATTAAATAATTTAATTAAAATTTTCAAATTGTCAGCAACTAAAATGAGTTATAACTTATAATGCAATTAGCACACCTTGGAAATACCTGCCAAAATTACATGACAAAATAATTACTCTTTAACGCTCTTCAAAATGGATTTCAATTACTGCGTGAAAAAAATAAGTACATGCCTGGATGATGCCCATGCATTTTTTGGAACATTTAGAATACAAAACTGTGTATGTGACCATGAACATGACTGTGTTCATCTCTACACCTCTATCTTATAGTAAATAATATTAATCATTAATATATCTGTCCATTGACAGGAAAATAGAAAGTTTATGTAGGCTTGCAATGAACTTAGGTCACAAGTCTCTCAGAAATAATGAGTGAATTTGCCCACAGTTTGATCATCATTTCAAAATTATTAAAACAATTTACACTTCAAATTTTATTTTGCCAGACTAAATTTTTATATATGTAAAGGATTCTAAAATACAGGACATAATTTCTCTCCGTTAGGTCAAGATGATTTATATAGACATGGTAAAGAAAGTCATCACTTTCATCACATGCCATGCAATATTTACAAATGTATGGCTTGGATGCGAATGAAATTTTTAAACAATAATAAATATATTGTGCCTTCTCTCAAATTCATAAAGGTGAATTTCATTACCTTCAAAATACTGGTCATAAAGACTGATGAACCCATAAGAATAAAAATCATAAGCCCTGTAACTCTTTGCTCCCGAATGCCAAGAAATTTGGGCTGTTCTCCTGGAGCTGAGCATTCTGATTCCAGTTTTAGACTGTTGACATGAGTGATGGAGAGGACCGTGGCAGCCACAAACCACGGCAGGCCCATGATGGAGCACACACCGAGCATGACAGCCACCATTAATAGATCCAGATGGTACCCACAACCTTTCTGTTAAAAAAAAAAGAAAGGAAGGAAGAAAGAAACTGTGTCAAAAACAGAGCTAAGAATGGCCTAATTGTGAATAGAAACCACTTCCTGACAATACCTAAGAAACCCTTCATATCAGATCTCTTGGAGATAAACTCTTCTTAAACACTCAATTGCCAATTGCCTTCTTTCATCTCAGTGGGTGACTCTTACTGGAAAGAATAATATCATAGAACCTAAGCTCCCTTACATATATTCACTTTTGTATCAATAGAATGCTATCTTGTTCTCATTTGTTTCCGTTTCAGAACTAGGAAAATTCAGCCTCCCCTTAAAAATCATAATTTTTGTATTTTCTGTCTCTGTGATTCTACCCCATTGTCACTGACCTCCAGGTGTTGCAAACTTAAGTGCTTCCAAGGATCATGCAGGAAATGTAAAGGAGGAAAGAACAGGTGCAGTGGGATATGTGGAGACCGCTCTCTTGGATAGAGTGATTAGGTAAGGTTGTGAGGAGAGAAATCAAAGATGGGGAAAAGCATCATTCCCTTCTCCCTCTGTGCCCCGCAGGAATTGAAATTGTAAAGCGTCAGCCGTAGCCAAAGGCTTGGCCTATTTTATGTTCCAACTTTTATTTTTAATTGTTACTGACCACTTCATGAGAGGCAGTATAATAAAGTCGTTAAGGATATAGGTTCTGGTAACAGACTGCCTGGAATCAGATGCTGGCACAACCAATGACTTTGGGCAAATCACTTAACCTCCTGTGCCTCTTTTTTCGTATCTGAAAATTGATGATGATGATAATAGAAGGCACCTCATTGGATAGTTTTAAGAATTAAATTATTTACTTTTGCAAATCAGTTAGAAGAATGTTTACTGTAGAGTAAGCACCCAGTAAATGTTAAGGTACTGTAACATTCTAGTGGTTAAACAATAACTTTTTCTTTTGTACTCATTGTGTTTCAAAGCTCCCCAATAAAACTATATGTTTCTTAAGAGCAGACAACTTATCATATAATTTCTCAATATTTCCCATAGTTTCTAGCACAAGCATTAGCACACAATAAGCAATCAATAAAAGTTACAGAATGACTTTTTTTTCTGATTTTTCTTTTTATTTCAGCATATTATGGGGGTACAGATGTTTAGGTTACGTATTTTGCCCTTGCCCCCCCCCCACCAAGTCCGAGTTCAAATATGTCCATCCTTCAGTGGTGCGCATTGCACTCTTTGTGTATGCATATACCCGTCCCCTCCTCCCTCCTCTCCCCTCCCCCTCCCCCTGCCCAACATCCAATAGATGTTATTCTTATATGAGCACTTATGTGTTCATCAGTTAATATCAATTTGATGGTGAGTACATGTGGTGCTTGTCTTTCCATTCTTAGGATACCTCACTTAGCAGAATGCGTTCCAGCTCTATCCAGGAGTATACAAGAGGTGCTATATCACCATTGTTTCTTAAAGCTGAATAGTACTCCATGGTATATATATACTACAGTTTATTAATCCACTCATGTATTGATGGACACTTGGGTTGTTTCCACATCTTTGCAATTGTGAATTGTGCTGCTATAAACATTCGGGTGCAGGTGTCTTTCTTATACAGCATCATTTGATTTTTGGGTAGATGCCCAGTAATGGGATTGTTGGATCAAATGGTACTTCTACTTGTATCTCTTTAAGGTATCTCCATATTGCTTTCCACAGAGGTTGCACTAGTTTGCAGTACCACTAACAGTGCATGAGTGTTCCTATCTCTCCGCATCCACGCCAACATTTATTGTTTTGGAACTTTTTGATAAAGGCCAGTCTCATTGGAGATAAGCGATATCTCATTGTGGTTTTAATTTGCCTTTCCCTGATTATTAGAGATGTTGAGCATTTTTTCATATGTTTTTTGGCCATTAAAGAATGACTTTTTAATAATGAAATATATATCACTGAAACAGGTCTTAGAATTAAATTTAATAAGTATAATTTTAAAATAAATATAGCAGTTAAATTTGTTATGATCATGAGCAGAAGTTACCAGTTCTTCTAGAAGAATAATTTTGGCTGGCTTAGAGGCAGTTTTATCAAACTTCAAGCAATTTGTAGTTAATGTGAAAGCTCATATACCCTGGAATGTGAAACATACTGGGTATTTGTTGCTATTTGTTATGGTAGTGTTTTCTCTCTGCTATTTTATTTTGTTAATTGTCTTCTTATTAAGAAAAAGATTCTTAAAGTCAGTTGTACTTCTTTTCCTCTCTGCTTATTCCTATCAAATTATAAAAGTGCAAGAGATAATAGTGAGGAGAAAATGGGAGATATCCACCTAAGAACCTTTCCTCCTGTGTTGTCCCCAGTTCAGTGATACCCGTTGTTGGGTCAGCTTAGCTGGGGCAATGCTACAGTTCACCAAAATCTCTAAACTTGGTTTCTTTGATGAATATGACTCTGGAAACTTTTTTTGCAGGTAACTCAGGAAAGAATTTCATTTGTAAGAGCTGAAGAGTGGAAAGAGAAATATCCTGTTGTCAGCATAACCAAAAAGGCATAGGAAGAACCTTTACCAGGGTCATAATATGGTTTCTTGGACCTTTTGCAAAACATTTTGGAAGATGTAGTTCCACTGAGGGGTGTTTTGTACTAGCCATTCTAGGGTGAGGATACAGAATAGTGAAGGACCTAACCACTCAGGCCCCTGCCTCTGAGGGAGTACAGTGCGAATGGCGCCCCTGGAGCTATTTTGCAAAGTTGCTGCTGAGAGAGAATGAAAGATGTAACAGTTGCCCTTTGCTGCGAGACGAACATGAGAGGAGGGCAGACGCTGGGGCCCTGAAAGCAGGGCTTGTGTTTTTTAGCACACCTAAAAACTTTTCCAGGGTCCAAACTCCCTACAGCTTAATAACATGAGGGAGACCTTCCTCATGATAGTGATTTCCTATAGCTCTTACTGAGTGTTTTAAAAATATGATACAAAAGTAAACAGTGGGATTCTGGATTGCAGGAAGTGTACAAAATAATTCTTTCAGAGAGAATAATTTCCTTTTTAAATTTAGAAAGCTAGCTTTGAAAAGTACAAATATATAATGAAAACAAAAATATAATCTCCCCCTGATTATGTTGTACAACAATGGGAGCATCTTGATTTAATGCAAACCAAAGGAAATAAAGCAGCTTTGGCACTTCCACTAATTAATCAGCATCCTTCTTGCCTTTCATTTTAAAATGTCTTTAAAAACTTGGTCTTCTTAACCAAATTATTAGCTGATAGGCATGCCAGCCAAAGGGAAGTATCCCTTTGTCAGAGAGAGAACTCTGCACCTCCTAACATATTTCTGTAGATTTTTTTCTCAAATAAAGACAGAACTAGAGCTTTTATTTTCACATTCATCCATGAATCACGCGAAATGGACATATGGGAGGAAAAGGGAGCACAGCAACAGGTGATGCTACACCAGACCCCACTAAAACCAACATGCAGCAAGACAAGAGGCCAGCCAAGAGGACCATCTGATACCCAGATGCCACTGCTGAAAAAATTCATTTCAAAGCTTGGCAGCAATTTCCTGCATCTGTCAAGTTAACCACATAAAAGACTATAGATTGACATGAAGAACCAGGCTGACAAAGAGGGCAGAAAAGAACATATCAAATGCCATAATCATCAAGAGAATGTGGTGCCAAATGAATGTTGCAAATGCATTCATTTACTCAAGTAATCCGGGATTGTATTGCTGTTTATTAAAAATGATGTCAAAAGAAGCCTGAACTGTCTACAGAAACATGTAGAAATCCCATAGTTGTATCTTAACAGAAACTTTCTTTTCTGTAAGATAATAAATCTGTTTCTTTTCACTTTCAGAGAATGTGCTTAAGAAAAAACCAAGCAGATATTTTTAATGCTTTTCAAAGGGATTCAGTTAACCTATGCCCATTCCACTTCTCTAAGGAAGAAACAAACAAAATGCTATAGAGAGTATGGATTTATATGTATATCTATATATAACACATATGATACTTTGCATTCTCAAATTTTTTACAGTTTGCAATTTCTTTCACTCTTCAGCCACCCAAAGGATCATGAGGGCAGTGAGTTGGCATTTTGCTAATTTTGAGCTCCCTCATTCGCAGGAAGTAGTCACTTAGTGAGTTGGGCTTAGCCTAATGCAGCAAAACACAGCTTTATTGTGTATGTAGTAACACTCAGACAATGATAAAAACATTTTTGCTGGCATGAGAAACATTATCTAAAAGAAAAATAACTATTAGTTTTGGCAATGGAGGTGAAGAAAAAGTGAAAAAAATATCTAAAATACAAGTTTGGGAGAGAGAAAGAACAAAATGAGGAATTCTGAGTTGACTTAGATATATGATGTAGACTTAAATAGACACATGATGTCGCGTCTACCAGGTGCTTGATACTGAAACTAGAAAACATGATTCATTAAACAATTTTAGGGAATGCTCCAACCAAGGCAAAAATGGGTTTTCAAGTCATAAAAGAAAATTAGCAAAAGCTGAAAATGGTTTTCACAAGCAGTTAAGTTGTAGTCTGGGGATAAACTCAAGAAACACATCTTTTAATGAAAATGTGGTTCAAGTCAAAGCCAGGAGACTTTGCAAACATTTCAGCGAAGCAACAGGTGGGGAAAACGAACTAGTTACTCTGAGTGAATAATGTTCTGAGAAGGTGATTTTGTTGTTATTAACAGGAAAATCATCAGCATCAGACCACACTCTACTAAAGCTTACTGGAGACAAGGACTATAGGCCCCAAAGAATTTGATGTAGCTAAAACATGTCTTCACTGGAAGTAACTTGCATTGAATACATCCATATCCAAGGAGGAGCATGGAGTTTTCAGATTCATAGGGGGCAAAAACAGACTGATTCTTCTACCAGTGGCAATGTAGCAGAGTTTATGATTAAATCAGATTTGCTCTATCATTGACTAAATCCAGGATGTTAAGGGGCAAATATTTGAATCTTTTAACTACATAATTGCTTATTTTTATAATAAAAAAGTTTAGTAATGTAGGCTCAAGTTTATTTCAGTGACAAAAATATCAAATTCCTTAGTTCTGCATTTAATTCTGTAATGCAAGTACTTGAAAGGCCCACTTAAAGAATGCATTACTACATTTTAGTTATTCTGCACTATATGTGAAGGAGGAAGTTAGTGTATTTGTCAGTTTGGAGCTTTGGAAAGGCTGTGAATGTCAAGGGACAATACTGGCTCATGAAGAGCAACGAGTAAGAGCGAGAGATGTGTGATTTATAAGACGGAGAGACCTGGAAATAGCAAGGATACAGAACAGCAAAAAGGTAATATCACCCTCCACCAAATCTTCGTTTACTTCTAACTTTGTTTTGATGTGATTTCATTAATACTTAGAAAAAATGCTGGCTGAATCAGTTTATCTGATAGCCTTTACACAGGGTAATTTTTCAGTGAAATCACTGGGAGTTCTGCCGAATTATAAAGGCTAAAAAAATCATTCTTTGAAAGGTAAACAATGATAATATAGCTTACTTTCTTCCTAAAACAGGAGTTTTTAGTTCATTTTTAGACATGTGTCATATAATGAAATATACATAGCAATTAAAAATGAGAAGTCAGATATATATTGTTGATACGGAATGAAAAAAAGGAGCAATATGTACTAAGAAAATACATATTTGGGTATGTATCAAAATGTAAACAATGTTATTTCTAGGTGATGAAATTATAGTTTTTCACTTTTGTTTTTAACTTTTTAAATATATGTATTACCCTCTAATCAGAAAAATAGAGATGCTTTCGGTTTAAAAAATAAACTTGTATCTAGGAAAAATGCTTTCCTACTTTTTAGAGAGTAGCAGAGTAACTTAGTATTCAACATAAAGTGCTTAAACTTGTTTTTATAGATTTAATTAACTGTGTAACTTCAATAATAAAGTCATGGCGATATTTGCTTTTGCAGAAGGGATATTTTAAAGCAAATAATATTTTTAAACTATTGATATTAAAAAACTAGGCTATTAAAGTTGGAAATCTGAATTCCTTATTTTGAGAAATAATTCTGTAAATAATTCAAAATTTCCAATATTGAATGGCCTACTTCAGTGGTGTTTTGAAGCCAACTCATCTAGACTTAGTGAGGCAATTATAAAATTTTCCTGCCAGTTGATGTCACGTTGATAGCTTGAAATGGGCCATAGGAGGAGTATTCACACCATGGAAATAGGCAAACATTATAAATCAAGGTCTCCCTTTTTTTACACTAAGGTTAAACATGTATTGGCACATTACTAGTCTAGTTCCTAAGACTTTATGAGATATTTTTATAAAATATATTCGTAATAAATATTTTATTTGTTAAAAACTGCAAGTGAGTTGAATGAACTCTTTTTAAAAAAGGTTTTGAGAACTCTTAAGTTACTTTCTACAAAGAGAATGAAGAATGCCCTTTGTTTTAAGATAGACACACATTCTCTCCGATATATATACACAAAATTCCCTCTTAGTAAGATTTATTACAAACGTGTGCTTTCCTACATTTATGTAACTATTATATCCCATCAAAATGTTTAATCAGAGATTTTTTTCATCTCTCTAACATACTTATAAAATCCTATAAAACATGATTTCTGTTGCTCTGACAATGATTTTTTTCCTAGAGTTTAAAGGGTATGTGAAGATAGCTGGAAATTTCCCCATGATACCAGAACAAAACAAGGTTGCGCGTGTTCTGTTTTTACAAGGTTTGATTCAGATTATTTTAACTATTCAGTGATTGCATTGATTTTATTTAACATATTCCTGTAAGTGATGGTGCTCACATTACATATCTCAGACAAATTGCATACCCGTAAACAACTTTGATTATTCAAAATTGCAAAATGGCAGGATCAGAATATGTAAAACACATCCATATTTAGTTATTCTCTTTGTAAAAAAAACTTATTGAAATCTGCAATAAAACTCAAAGATGTCACTTACAAACTGTAACATTTATGGCTGGGTTTTGTTATAGGCAGCAGAGAGAATAATAATTAAAGAAAATGAGAAATATGTGAAGATGTAATTTTGTTTCGATAATAAACTCAATGTAATAAATATACCTAGGGTTAAATAGAGGGATAGAGGAATCTCAGATGTAAGACAAGTTGGTAAGGTTGTACTTCATTAGAATAGATTGTTATTTCATTAAAATATGTTAAACATGGTAAAGTTAAAACTTTGACAATGTTTTTTAAGACCTGAAGATAAGGTCTCAGACTTTATAACTCACCCAAGTGCTACAAAGAAATAAATTTTCATCTCATTGTGAGACAAAATATCTCATAAGACAATAAAAATTTTGAATCTAAAAACATTATTTTAATATTTCACTGTATTCATTTGAATACAGAATATAGGCAAAGTCTAATGAACATCAATTGATATCAGTTAAGTTAGAATTATTTACATTAAAATGTATGTTAAAATATACCTTTAGCTTATGCTCTTTTCTATTGATGATGACAGCTGTAATCTGTTGGTCCATAAAAATTAGAATAGTGCAAAGCAAAGCTGGAATAACAGCAGCTATTACTGTCCACCATGGATTTGGACCTAAAGGTGTAACAAACCAGCCACGATCATCTCTGGTGGGCTGTAAAAAGTAAAAGAATATACATAGTTATTAACTGGATTAATGGATACCTAATCAAATTAAGTCTTACAGATGCCATAAGGAAAGTCCTAATCATAAACCGATGAGCTGAGTGGTCTATAATGAATAATAACAATACTCATAAAGCATTTATAAGGTAGCAGCCACCATCATAAGTGCTGTAAATATTTTAACTCATTTTTTTCTTCACAACACCTGAAAGAAGATGATACAGATAAGAAAATTGAGGCAAAGAAAAATCCAGTAAATTGCCAAGGTCCCAAATTTAGTAAGTGGCAGAGATGGGATATGAACTCTGACAGAGTGCCTCAAAAAAATCTGTGTTCTTAATCAATACTTATAAAACTAAAATAATATTAATATTTACCATTTACTATTGGCAAGTTTATTTACGTTTACAAATAGCATGTTGACCATTGTGCTAGAACCGAGATAAAAAGATAAATAAGTCAGAGCCTTTTTTCAGTTTAGAATCAGAGACAGACATATAAACAGAATATTTAAATATGATATTGTAATAGTTACTTTGATGTGTGCACAGGCTATGGTGCGAAAATGGAAAAAAGACACTTGATCACATCAGAGGCTCAAGGAAGGGTCCCAAACATGGCTGATGTCTGAGATGATTCTTAAAGGAACTCACTCTGACAATGACCCTATGAGGAGTCCCCAGCCCTATTTGGTAGATGAGAAAATGGAGGCTCAGAGAGGATAAGGAACTGGCTCAGGGTCACCACAGGTTGAGTATCCATAATCTGAAAATCTGAAATCTGAAATTCTCCAAAATCCAAAACTTTTTGAACATCAACATGATGCCACAAGTGGAAAATTCCACACCTGACCTCATGTGACAGGCCACATATATTATTAAAAATATTGTATAAAATTACCTTCAGGCTATGTGTATAAGTTGTATATGAAACATAAATGGATTTTGTGCTTAGACTTAGGTCTCATCCCTAGGATATCTCATTGTGTTTTTGCAAATATTTCAAAATCCAAAACAATCTGAAATCTCAAACACTTCTGGTCCCAAGCATTTCAGATAAGGGATACTCTACCTGTATCTCATTAGTAACATGATCGGAATTCTATTCCAGACCTATCTTTATCTGTTTTTCAAGCCCTATCAGCTGTGCAATTTTGCATCAAGATAATGCATTTCCCTTAGTTTTGAAATGCTTCTTTAACTGTTAGGAGAGTTGTATATAGATACATCAATTGCTACAGTTGACAGGAAATTTTTTCAAGAAACCATTAAGTTTGTATTTTGTAATTCTTATTTTTTTTAATATTAGACCAAAATTTTAGTCATGCTGTGTGTACTTTATTTCCTGCTCTATTAATCTATATTCTTTATATTTTCATGAAAATCATAAGTACTAGGTTTATAGACATCATTTAAATGAAGATTAGACCCAGAGAGATGGAAAGATAGAGAGTAAGTGGTAGGATAAATTCACCTTGAAAACACTTGGTACTTGCAGCTTTGGAGATGGGATTCCAATGGCATAGTCAATTAAAACCATACACAGAATTGTAAGAAAGACAGCGAAGTCACTAACTATGGATCGAACCTAAAAATAATGAAAACACTTATCACTTGAAGGAGCTATAAATATCAAGGAATACTCAGGAACATAATCTAGAATAACACTTTATGATATAATATCTTAATATTATATTTTATGCATACTGTAAGATTATCATTAGCTCTGTCAGAACCTGAATATACATTTATGTATTGCTATCTTTAAGATTGGCACACACTCAAAATTTCCAGAATGAGGCATTATGGGATAGCTACATGATAGTTGTGTTGTTTTCAATATTTATTTAAAATCTAAGTTTATTATGAACTCAAGTATGCTAATATTTAGAACACAGAATAAGGTGGAATGGCTAGAATTTGGCTGAATTTTAGGGCTCCTTCTCACATAAGTAACATTTTAATATGATAAACCTGAAGTACCATAAAATAAAATTATCTATTTTTATTGAAGCATAATGTTTTAGCTTATCTATGATATAAGTATGGCAGTCGGAAATATACACAACAGAGTGGGAAATTTAAAATTTATTGTATGTAAGCCAATTTTTAAAGTCATTTTTCATTTATAAGGCCAATTTTGAGCAAATATCCTCATACAATTATCAACAAGATCTGGTTTCTTTTAAGATGCCTTTATGACACACACACACAAAATGTTTGAGATTGTTGTTTCAATTTAACAAAAAAAATTTTTGTATTAATCTGACTATGCTTTTGGCAGGAAAATCTTATTATACCTTCGAGAAGGAGGAGATGACCAAAAAAAGCCCTCTGTGGAAGGAACAATTCTTGAAACATTTTCCCAGAGTGGCATTTTAATTATAATCTATAGCTCATCCCTAAAAAGCTTGTTTCCTTGTTTCTTTTCTTTTCTTTTTTTTTGGCGGAATCAGACATTATAGGTGTTACTTTGCAGTGTTAAATATTGAACTAAGCTGTTTCTCTGTTTACTTTCCTTTCCAAATATGCAGATGCAAACGTGGTGGGTTAGGGGGAGCGACTGACGCTTTAAAAACTGAAAAAGAGAATAGTGTTCCAATGAGTCTTGTAGGGGCTTTCCCAATTAGAGAATGCAGCATAGGTTCCTCTGAGGTATCTGTCACGCTGGAATAGTTCCCACTGTTCACTGGGCAAGAAAGTGACAATCAGTAACGCAATGTGTGCTGTGAATTTCCAAAAACCTCAGTGGGAAAGTGGGAGTTGATCCTTGGGGTCTCCAGTGAGGAGAAACGCCTACAGGGAATGTGCACTCCTGGCACCTGCAGCACGAAATGCTTTCTCCTCAGCCCCCCCCCGCCCCCCCACCCCTAAACTGGCAGCTCACTCACACAAAAGCCTTTGAGTGGCTTCCTTCATTGCAGCAATTGCTCTTTCTTTTATCCTAAAACACACAGGACTTCTGAACATGTTGTATGTTAGTTTACAATTATATCAGAAAATTCAAATAGTCTGAGTACCTTGGTTGGAAAATATCGGCTAGTCTTGAACTGCTTCAGGGTGGCTGACAGAGTAACCGTAGAAAAGAACAGAATCACTGACCAAAATAGAACATCTGGAACATACGGATGATCATGGCCACAGGCTCGTCCAACGTACTCTCCATGCAGTGACTTGCATTCCTGCCAGAGGACGTAACACAGACGGAGCTATTGAGAAAAAAACTGGATGCATTTCTTTCAGAAAACTAATATCTTCTGATCAATTGCAGTGAGATGCTGAAGCTTTTCACTGATGGAGCTCACGATGATTTAAGGACGTTACATTATGCTTTTCAAATTTTATTTGCATAGGTAGTGAGAAATATCAAAGATTTATATTATATAAAATTTGAACACAAGCCATTTTTTAAACTTTAAATTTAAATCTATAAAACTAATTGACTTCCCAGTTAATGTGTATTCAACTTAGTATCTTCTAAGTTCCTAACACCGGATTTATTGAAAATAGGACATATTTGATAGTGAATGGTTACTAAGGTTAGACACTATGCCAAGTCACTTAAATACATCCCTCTAATTATTTCTCATACCAACCCTATAAAATAGGTAAATGTTTTTATTTCTATTTCATGTCTGAGGAAACTGAGGTATAGAGAGGAGAGGTTAAATAATTTGTTGTGGCCTCATCACTGCTGGGTGGCAGCAGAGCTGTGATGAAAATATAATTCCTGAAGTGGGAATGTTATTGCATATTAAAGAACAATGATTTTGTAGAATTATCTAATTCAAAAGCTACCAAGAAAGATGATAAAGGCAATAAGAAAGCTATGATATATAATTACTGAAATTAAATTGTGAGTCAAAGAGGGGATATTGAACTTGGATTAAAGAACAAATGAGAAAAAAATTACTACATGAGCAAGGCAAAGCTCATGTTTTACTATGACTTTTCTGTGGTCTTTTTTTCTGGCACTATGTTTCTATAAGCCCCCGAAGAATCACATCTAATTACTGTCTTAGCCATGAGGTGGCAGCAAAGTCAAAAAAATTTTCTTTCTCCAAGAAAAAAACATTAAATATTTTGAAAGAAAAAAATTCTTTTAAATTCATTTTGGTTTCTCTTATTTTATTTAAAAATTAGATTACTAAAGTATTTGGTTTTTATTTAAAAAGATAGAAAAGAATAGTTTAAATGATTCAGTGACCTCATTATTCCTTCAAGTATTCTGGCCCCAAACAAAAATTGAATTATACAGAGAGATCTTAGGGAAAATTATGGACTGGTAGATTGATCACCAACATAGAGCATGCCTAATGAATCAGATATCAGGCCCTGGAATCCTTGTATAGCGTAAAATAAATACTTTCAAAAGATTCTAGAATAAATCACAAATAGCTATCTCGTCATCAGAAAACAAACAACTACTAAAATCTACTTGCAGTAGGTAGCTATCCTAAGCCTAAGATTCTTGAGAAATACGATTATTACACCTTATAATTGTCTAAAAGAATCTGCCCCCTTTTCTAATCTAACTGCACAAACCTTCCTTGATAGCTAAAGTTGAATTCTCATTATCCACGTTAAGCTAACACAGAGGACTATAAAACTTGCCTAATTGAAAAATCACAGAAAAATCCCCCAGGCCTTAATTATAGCTTTAATTTTCCTTCTCTCAAAACTCCGTAAAAATAGATAAAGTAGCAAAAATGAATCCTTGTGTTTTTCAGCCTCTTCTCCTGTGCCTGTCTAGAAATGCTAGTAGAGCAATCACTAAGCAATGTAATGGGTGAGCAAAATGACTAAATAACAAACAGGAACTAAAAGTTCCATGATAAGAACATTATCTATAGATTTGTGAGCATCTTCAGTCATTTGTACAGGTATAATAGTCTTCTAAATGGTCCTTGGATTTGGCTGGGTCTTGGTCTCAATTTTTCAGAACATAGATGCTATTTAAAGGATCACTTAACTATCTTGTAATCTATGATAAATTGCCAGTGGCCTGCATAGTTACTTTCATTCAAAGCAAATTTGAAAATGTTATTTATTTTTCTTTTTTTGGAAGAAACAGGGTGTTAATTTCAAAAAAAAGATAAAACCATGACCTATTAAATTTGACATTTATTTTCAGGTTTATACTAATTGTACCCTCAACACAGACACACATGCACAAGTACATGTACACATACACATGCACACACGCATATATGTGCACTCACACATACAGAGTAAGTCCTGAAATTTAGAAGTGAAAACCAAATCCAAATCCTGCTCTCTTCTTTTGAGTCTAACATATGGTTTCACTTGCAATGGGTACTCAAAAAATGCTTGTTGACAAACTGATTTCTACTAATTACTCTTCAAACACATTTTAAGTTTCAACAATTCTATAAGTTGGCAAAAATTATGTTTGATAAAATAAGAAATTAAAGTTGGAATTAGGGTCCTGCCCCTTATGTATGTACAAGCTAAATACTGAATTCAGGCATTGAAATGATATTTAACTAATTGCTAGTTAACTTCTTGTAAATATTTTAAATCTTTATTTAAAGATTCTTTATAATGGCTGATTTTGAGATACTGCTAAAATTACCTAGAACACCTAAGTATTCTAGCTTATCATAAATATTTGCACTAAATAGTAAATACGTGAAATGAAACTGTTTTTCAAAATGATCATAAAGTATTTATCAAGTATTTAACACTTACTATGCATATAGCAGTTTAGGAGAATCAAAGAAATCTTAAGTTCTTTGCCCTTGCTGAGTTGGCAAGGTATAAATTACAATTCATGAGATATGTAACAACTCAATAAAACAATACTGGACCTGCCAAATAAATAATATGTAAATTAAATTTATATCACTATTTTAACAAAATTAGTTAAAATAGCCATTAGCTCAGTGCTTTATTAATAAAGTGCTTTGATGATGGTAGATTGATTATACTGAGAAGGAAAAATTAGCATTACAATTAAGACAAAAATTTTAACGGTCTTTGTTGACTTAAAAG